CTGAAGCAGTTTCCTCAGGTCTGGCCTCTTGCTGTTGAAGATGATCTTGCAGCTCATCTGTGGTTAGTTTTTCATTGTTCTCCTCCACCAACTCTTCCACATCCTCCCCACTAACCTCCAACCCCAAGGACTTCCCCAATGCCACAATTGATTCCACAACTGGCATATGCTTCAAAATCCCTTTTGTCTACACATTCTGGCCACAGTTTCTTCCAAGCAGAGTTCAAGGTCCTCTTAATCACTCTCTCCCAAGCCTTACCTATAAGGTTTACACAGCTGAGGATACTAAAGTGATCTTTCCAAAACTCTCTTAGAGTCAATCGAGTGTCTGAGGTCACTTCAAAGCACTTTTGAAACATAGCTTTTGTGTAGAGCTTTTTGAAGTTAGAAATAACCTGCTGGTCCATGGGCTGCAGGAGAGGAGTGGTAATAGGAGGCAAAAACTTGACCTTAATGAAGCTCATGTCCCCAGAAAGTCGCTCTGCCAAGTCTGAAGGATGACCAGGAGCATTGTCTAATACCAGGAGGCACCTAATGTCAAATTTATTTTCCAGGAGGTAATTTTTCAGTGGGGGCATATGCATGGTGTAACCAGTCATAGAAAAAGTCCCTAGTGACCCATGCCTTACTGTTTGCCCTCCACAGCACACACAAATTACCCTTGAGGACATTGTTTTGCCTGAACGCTCTGGGAGTTTCAGAGTGATACACCAATAAAGGCTTCACTTTGCAATCACCACTAGCATTAGCACACATCATGAAAGCCTGTCTTTCATAGGCTTATGTCCTGGGAGTGCCTTTTCCCCCTGAGTAATGTAGGTCCTGTTTGGCATTTTCTTCCAAAACAGGCCTGCTTCATGATCAGGTTTCAGTCCTTCACTGTTTATGTAGTCCTTGAATTCCTGCACATATTTTTCAGCCGCTTTATGGTCCAAACTGGCAGCCTCACCATGCCTTATCACACTATGTATGCCACTACCAATCTCAAATCTCTCAAACCAACCTCACATCACCACTAGTTGCAGGCATTTTTCTAATTAAATCGTCATGCAACTTCCTAGCCTTTTCACATATGATCGCTTGAGAGATGGTATCTCCTGCTATCTGTTTTTTGTTTATCCACACCAATAACAGTCTCTAAACATCTTCGAGTACTTGCGATCTCTGTTTCGAAAACAAACTTGCACCTTTTGCAAGAACAGCTTCCTTGATTGCCGTTTTGTTGGCCACAATAGTAGCGATGGTTGATTGGGGTTTGGTATACAACCTGGCCAGGTCCGAGACACGCACTCCACTTTCGTACTTAGCAATCATCTCTTTCTTCATTTCCATAGTAATTTTCTCCCTTTTTACCACAGGGTTGGCACTAGAAGCTTTCTTGGGGCCCATGGTGACTTATTTTGCAGCTACGATTACTAAAAACACTGTGATAATATGAAATGTACCGAATGTATGCGTGGATGCGACCGCACTGGCTGGCTTGTAAACACTGGCACCCACGGGGCAGCTGAGGCCACACATGGGATGTGTCCTGGACGAATCGCATGAGGCGAGTTTTTTAGCGTCAGGCGAGGCAAAATTTTTGCGTTAAAATATATCGTATGGTGGATTTAACGTAACGCAATGCCATCGTAAGGCGGGGGTCCACTGTATAAGAGGGGCCTGGAGACGTGACTAATGAACAGAAAAAATGTTATTTTAGTGCCAGAAATGTCTGCATTGTTTATTCTGGACTATTTTGAATTTAGCATCTTTTGAAATCTGTGTGAAATTGTCCAAACTGCTAATTTCTGACCATTTTATTGGGTAGTTGAAATTGGTGAATGGGCGATTTCCTGTATGAAATCGATAGAACAAATGGAGTTCTAGCAAAATAACTGAGTTTGAACATCAAAATGGTATACAATACCGACAGGTTGGTAGGTAAGACACACAGGCAACAGTTAGGCAACTTTATTCCGAAACGTTTCGCCTACACAGTAGGCTTCTTCAGTCGAATACAGAAAGTAGTAGAGATGTGAAGACTTCACATCTCTACTACTTTCTGTATTCGACTGAAGAAGCCTACTGTGTAGGCGAAATGTTTTGGAATAAAGTTGCCTAACTGTTGCCTATGTGTTTTACCTACCAACTATGAGTTTGGTTGACTGGAACAATGGAATTGGCTGAAAATAGGGCTCAAACTGGGCGAAATAGCCGATGCATATACAGTGCCAAGACCGCTAACTTTGCGAGTGTAATTCTATGAGTTTTCCATCAAATTTCGTACTTTTGGTGTCATTACCATCGGGAAAAAGATTTTCTATCATTTCATAACAAAAAACAATTTTTTTTTTAAATTCTTTGATAGTGAGAGTAAGTTTGTGAGCAGGGGTCTCAACAGTCAAAGGGTTAAATGTTTATACTGTAGTGTACTGTATACTGTAATAAACAGTATACTAGAGGAAATCAGCTCTAATATACATTACTTAGGTCTGCATACTGTAAATTCAAGTAATTGGTTTTATTTATTCAGAATAAAGAAAAGGTCATCAGTGTCATCATCAGAGTTATCAGCAGGGTTATCATGAGGTGTAGAAGGCCCAGGTAAGGGAGATGACAGCTAGGAAATGGAAGGACTTGTAGGGGTAGGGGTCCTGGGTGCAATTTTCCAAAAGAATCCCATTAGTTAGGTCTGCTTTGTAATTTTTTTTTTTCCAACAAGTCGGCCATCTCCCATCTAGGCAGGGTGACCCAAAAAGAAAGAAAATCCCCAAAATGAAAATACCTTCATCATTCAACACTTTCACCTCATTCATACATAATCACCATTTTTGCAGAGGCGCCCAGATACAACAGCTCAGAAGCATATATAAAGATACAATATAAAAAGTGACCTGAAAGAATATAATAAACTATACTATTTACTATATAGAATATAATATCAGGGCCCCAATTATATATATACCATCCTATTACACATCCCTCCAAACTGCTAATATCCCAAACCCCTCCTTTAAAGTGCAGGCATTGTACTTCCCATTTCCAGAACTCAAGTCTGGCTATATAAAAATAACCGGTTTCCCTGAATCATCATCATCTTCTTTCAACAAACTGGCCGTATCCCACTGAGGCAGGGTGGCCCAAAAGGGAAAATGAAAGTTTCTCCTTTTACATTTAGTAATATATACAGGAGAAGGGGTTACTAGCCCCTTGCTCCCGGCATTTTAGTCGCCTCTTACAACATGCATGCCTTACGGAGAAAGAATTCTGTTCCACTTCCACAAGAACAAGAACTAGAAAGAAAATAGAAGAAAACCCAGAGGGTGTGTATATAAATGTTTGTACATGTATGTGTAGTGTGACCTAAGTGTAAGTAGAAATAGCAAGACGTACCTGAAAATCTTGCATGTTTATGAGACAGAAAAAAGGACACCAGCAATCCTACCATCATGTAAAACAATTACAGGCTTTTGCTTTACACTCACTTGGCAGGACGGTAGTACCTCCCTGGGCGGTTGCTGTATACCTTCACTAAATATTACTCTGCTCATATCCAACAGCTCATTAGGTCCCAAAAACCATTCATCTCCATTCATTCCTACCTAAAATGCTCATGCTTGCTTGCTGAAAGTCCAAGTCCCTTGCCCACAAAACCTCCCTTACCCCCTTCCTCCAACCTTTTCGAGGATGACCCTTACCCCACCTTCCTTTCCCTACAGATTTATATGCTCTCCATGACATTCTACTTTGATCTATTCTCTCTACATTGATCCATTCTCTCTACTTTGATCCATTCTCTCTTTTGATCCATTCTCTCAACAACCCCTCTTCAGCCCTCTGACTAATACTTTTATTGACTCCACACCTTCTCCTACTTTCCACACTTTGAATTCTTTGTATAATATTTACAACACACATTGCCCTTAGACAGGACATCTCCACTGCCTCCTTGCTGCAGCATTTACAACCCAAGCTTCACACCCATATAAGAGTATTGGTACCACTATACTTTCATACATTCACTTCTTTGCCTCCATTGATAAAATTTTTTGTCTCCACATATACCTCAATGCACCACTAACCTTTTTTCCCTCATCAATTCTATAGTTAACCTCATCCTTCATAAACCCATCCGCTGACACATCAATTCCCAAATACGTATCTGAAAACATTCACTTCTTCCATACTCCTTCTCTCCAATGTGATATCCAATTTTTCTTTATCTAAATCATTTGATACCCTCATCACCTTACTCTTATCGATGTTCACTTTCAACTTTCTACCTTTACACACCCTTCCAAACTCTTCATAAATTTCACGACAGCATTGTAAAAGTTCATCCATTTGCCATTCCACTTTCATGAACCGTTCAACATTCGGGTCCATACCTGAATGTTGAACACACTAGTTACCCCTTTACTAGGCCTGTTGCAGTGTTCCTTCTTTCTTTCTTTACAGCTTACCCTCTTTACAGTAAACTTCTTTTGTACTACTTCCATTCTTTCCTCTTCTAAGTGCTGCTGCACTTCCAACTCTTCATTAGTTAGCTCTCCCTCCTTCGTACAGTGTACAGTACCAACTGGTCAAAGAGCTGGACATAAGTCCGCGAGGTTGTTAAACAGGTAGGTCATTAAATGAGGAGTGCCTATGCTCCTTTTTCCTTCAGCACCCACCCCCCTATATCCAAATTCTTAAATCTACCTCCATCCCTCTTCAACTTCCTCTTCTGTAACCCATCTTTCTCTGAACACTTGCTTGCATGTTACCTTAACTTTCTCCTCCTTTAATTTGTAAACTATTACCTCTCTCTTTCTCACCGATGACATTCTCCTTGTACTCATCTACCTCTTACTCTCACTGTAGCTGCAATTACATAATGATCTAATAATAATAATAACATTAATAAATAATTATTATTAGTGGGGAAGCAATAAACCCAGCACTTGTGGAAATGGACGTCTGATCTAAGGAAAGTGCCCTTAAGACGCATAAAGGAATTGGTTAGGTTTATATAATACCTCTTCATAGCTGTTGCAGCCAGTTCACTAAGTGCAATAGCTGCTAGCAGATGAGTTGGTTGCTGCAGACTGCATGTGGGTGCAGCTGAGCCCATACTGGATGCAGCTGGGTATATTGTAGGTAGCATGGAACCAAATGTCGACTGCACAGATGATGATGATGTATTGATTATCTCAACAACACTGCCTTCACTGCCTTCTTCACCTACACTCTTATACCTAAAAGTAAGCTATACTAATTATTTGGGAAATCTTTTAATTAAGAGATAAAACCATTTAAATTTTGAGAGGGGTAATAGACAGATTTGATCTACTAAATTCCAGTAAAATGGGGAAAAAAATAATGGTGCTAAAATTCTCAACACTATCAGTGATTAAAAATCCTTCACATATGTTGAAAAAATAAACAACATGCTGGCCATCTCCCACTGAAGCAGGGTGACCAAAAAAAGAAACACTTTTGCCATCATTCACACATCATTTGCTCAAAATGAAAAATGTACATAAATATATATGTATGTGTGCACACAAAACAACATGAAGGAGCTCAAAGAAAAATATGTATTTTGGCCCTGGTTCATGAATCCCATGAAGCCCTTCCATAGACCCATAGGGATTCATGGACCACCACCTGAGAAACCCCTGATTAGTGGTTTATTTTAATAAGATGATTTTTTAGTTTTGTCTACTGTACTCTGTCAATGAGTGAAAGTTAAGTACCCATAAATAACACTATGGTAATGTACTGAAATAAGGTGGTGCTTATAAACAATCATTATTATACAGGTATTCATGCAGAGCTCTAAATACATAAGGGTAATACTGAATCTAATAATAAACCAAAATTTTCAGAATTCTTCATAAAACTAATTTCAAGCAGAGTATGACATTACTTCAGTGGAATGTGGTGTGTCCACACTGCTTGTGATGGGCCCTCTACAGGTGACTGTATTGTTAAGGCAGGCCCACCAAGTGACGATTTTCTGGCCCTAGTGGAAATTAAAGAAAACAAGCTAGAGATTTCAAAATATTTTGAGGCTAAAAGTCTTGATAAAAATTACTAAGTCACAATCAAGAGATTTTTATTAAGAACAGTATCCAGTTTCTTATCACATAATTTGCAAATTTTCACCCGACTCCCTGGGTGTCTGGTGGTGTGTGGTGCAGCCAGGGGGCAGCGATTCCCTCCATCTTCCAATGACTGGATTTATTTACATATTTGGTTTTGTTTTGGTTCTCCACACCCAAAATTACTATCTTCTTTTGTGTTCTTAAAGTCACTGAAGACTTTAAGAACACAAAAGATAATATTGCATCCTCAACTGTACACAATACAGTGCCCCCCCCAAAAAAAAAAAAAATACAACAGCCCTATTCAATCCAATATATCATAGAAGACTGTATTGCAAAAAATATTCTTCAAAATGTATCATTAAAATTAATCTGTACACTGCTTCTGAACAACCCTTCATAATGTCCTTTAACCCTTTGACTGTTTTGGCCACATATATACAGTGGACCCCCGGTTAACGATATTTTTTCACTCCAGAAGTATGTTCAGGTGCCAGTACTGACCGAATTTGTTCCCATAAGGAATATTGTGAAGTAGATTAGTCCATTTCAGATCCCCAAACATACATGTACAAATGCACTTACATAAATACACTTACCTAATTGGTCGCATTCGGAGGTGATCGTTATGCGGGGGTCCACTGTAAGTCTTACGAGCAAGTGTTTCGGACGTATATATACTCAATAATTCTACCGGCTTCAAATCAAGCAGGAGAAAGCTGGTACGCCCATATGTGAGAGAATGGGACTGTGTGGTCAGTGTGCACCACATAAAAAAATCCTGCAGCACACAGTGCATGAGAAAAAAAAAACTCTGACCGTGTTTTTGGATTAAAATGCAGACTTTGAGGTGTATTTTTGTATAGTATTTATGGTTGTATTCTCGTTTTCTTGGTCTCATTTGATAGAATGGGAAACATATTACAGAAACAGAGATGATTTTGATTAGTTTCATGATGAAAATGACCTTGAAATTGAGCTCAAAGTAGTGGAAATGTTCGATTTTTACCAATGTTCAAGAGTAAGCAAATCACACCACACGTCCAATGCACGTCAACTGGGGAGTCTAATATTCTTTCACTAGTGCAGTGATATTATTTATACCATTTTTTACAATAATGCAGTAGTCTGCATAACAGGAAATCTTCTATTTTTTTGTGTGAATAAAAAAATCAAAATAGAAGTAATAGTAATATAAGAGGGGCCTAGAGACGTGACTAATGAACAAAGGATATGTTATTTTAGTGCCAAGAAGGTCTGCACTGTTTATTTTGGACCCTATTTTGAAATTGGCATCTTTTTTAATTTGCGTGAAATTGGCCAAATTGCCAATTTCTGACCACTCTAATGGGTAGTTGAAATCAGTAAATGGGCTGTTTCTTGTACTCAATAGAAAAAATGGAGTTCTAAAGAAACAGGTATGAGTTTGGTTGACTGGAACAATGAAATTGGCAAAAAATAGGGCTCAAAGTCGGCGAAATCGCTGATGCGTATATATCGCCGAGATCGCTAACTTCACAGGAGCGTAATTCCATAAGTTTTTGATAAAATTTCGTACTTTTGGTGTCATTACCATCGGGAAAAGATTCTCTATCATTTCATAAGAAAAATAATTTTTTTTTTCCAAAAATTTTTCGACATAGAATGACAACTTCAGAAAGGGGCTTGTGACAGTCAAAGGGTTAACATTTTCTGCTGTAATGCCATTAAATTAAAATTTTTAATTTTCTCTCCTAAATAGTGCTCTGATAAATCTGAAGTTTATGCCATCTTTTTGGAAAATTATCCCAACATTAACCAAAATTTCAGGGTAACCAGAGGCTTCCAGAATGTTGCACACTGTTATGAGGCACCCTATGGTTCATTTTTTCCTAAAAGCCCCTCCTAGGCCAGCATCTACTGCAAACTTAGTCATGGGAAAACCTCCAATTTCATGAGCTTCTGTATGTCCCCACTTCAGAGTATGACAGCTAGCCTGATGATATAGCCATTTCAGTAAGTGGTACTGAATAGTTGTTATGGAAACCCTTTGACTTGTTCTTATAGACGTGCCATTATCAGGTAGTGTTGCAGTAATTATACATGTTAATTACAAGCACTAAGGAGTTTCTTTACTGCTCTTTCCTTATTATTGTTTGTGCTGATGCCATACAAATGCTACTTTGCACATGATAACTATAGGGCTCCAATTTATGATAGCCAATCCAGCCAAAGAAAATAGGTTAAGAAATACATTTTTATGGAGGTGCCATAATCTTCCTAAAGCAGAAATTAGCAATGATCTTCTGAAAATTTATTCCCCAAACTGCATTATACATTTAAGGCCCATGATAAGGAAAGTCAGGAACTTGAAAGTTAATACTGTGTATCGTACCTTAATGCTTGAACTGTAGAATGATGAAATGTGTGACCAGAGCGACGAGCATGAGTCTGTAGTGTCTCAATGGCATTAAAGATAGAGCCACAAACACACAACAACTTGACTCCACAGGTCCGCCGGTGGCGGGCAAGCAGTGCTTCAGTACTGAATGCTTGGCCACAGTCACATGCATGAGAGCGAGCTGCATGCACTTTGAGATAGTGCTGGGAAGAAATAATTTAAGGAAGATTTGGTGATTATTTGTCTGCTGGTATAAAGTGTACCATAATTTTAAATATGTAATAGTTTTTTAATTGTCACAGAACATCTACAACATAAGTACAGTGGACCCTCGACCAATGATGGCATCGACTAACGTTAAATCCGACCAGCGATACATTTTAACGCAAAAATTTTGCCTCAACTAGTGCTAAAGAACTCGACCAACACTATTCGTTCTGTCTGAGACGCGTCCACTTCTGGCCAGTGTTTACAAGCCAGCCAGCCACCGCGGTCACTTCCAAGCATATAATCGGAACATTTCATATTATCACAGCCTTTTTAGTGATTGCACCTGCAAAATAAGTCACCATGGGCCCCAAGAAAGCTTCTAGTGCCAACCCTACAGCAAAAAGGGTGAGAATTACTATGGATATGAAGAGAGAGATCATTGCTAAGTATGAAAGTGGAGTGCATGTCTCCAAGCTGGCCAGGTTGTACACAAAACCCCAATCAACCATCGCTACTATTGTGGCCAAGAAAACGGCAATCAAGGAAGCTGTTCTTGCCAAAGGTGCAACTATGTTTTCGAAACTGAGATCGCAAGTGATAGAAGATGTTGAGAGACTGTTATTGGTGTGGATAAACGAAAAACAGATAGCAGGAGAGAGCATCTCTCAAGCGATCATATGTGAAAAGGCTAGGAAGTTGCATGAGGATTTAATTAGAAAAATGCCAGCAACTAGTGGTGATGTGAGTGAATTAAAGGCCAGCAAAGGCTGGTTTGAGAGATTTAAGAATCGTAGTGGCATACATAGTGTGATAAGGCATGGTGAGGCTGTCAGTTTGGACCAAAAAGCAGCTGAAAAATATGTGCAGGAATTCAAGGAGTACATAGACAGTGAAGAACTGAAACCTGAACAAGTGTTTAATTGTGACACTGACAATGTTGTGAAACACTTTAGGAATGTCATAAAGGAACGGGAGGTACAGGCCTCTATGGACAGATATGTTGTGCGACAGAGGTCCAGTGGCTCTCAAGCTGGTCCTAGTGGCATTAAAAGAAGAAGGGAAGTAACCCCAAAAAAGGACTTGCCACCTCAAGTCCTAATGGAAGGGGATTCCCCTTCTAAACACTAACACCATCAGCACTCTCCCCTCCTCCCATCCCATCAATCATCACCAGATCTTCAATAAAGATAAGTGTCATGTAACTGTGCATGTCTTCTTCAGTTTGTGTATTAAAATTAATATTTCATGTGGTAAAAAAAATTTTTTTCAATACTTTTGGGTGTCTTGCACGGATTAATTTGATTTCCATTATTTCTTTTGGGTAAAATTAACTCGACTAACGATAATTTCGATTAACGATGAGCCCTCAGGAATGGATTAATATCGCTGGTCGAGGGTCCACTGTACAGTGGAACCTTGACTTACGAGTGTCTCAATGTACGAGTTTTTTGAGATACGAGCCGCCCCTGGGTCAATTTTTTGCTCCGAGTTACGAGTCAACATTTGAGTTACAAGCCAGCTCTCCCTCTCTTCCCCCTCAACCCAAAACCTGGACACCTCGCTTGTTTATCTATGATTTCATGCTTTAATTCCATGGAAATCATTCTCTTTTTCTTCTCAGCACTGTCCTTTACACTTACTTTCTTAGGACCCATGCATAGAAAAATGAAATTTGGCCAAATGACTGTTAAAAATGTAAGCAAAGCAGGAGAGAACTGCTCCCACAGCAAGGTAAACAGTGCACTGAGTTACTGGCGTTCGTTATTATAATAAAATAATAATAATAATTATTATTAGTGTTATTATTATTATTAACCCTTCGACTGTTGCAAGCCCCTTTCTGAAACTGTCATTCTGTCACAAAATTTTTGGAAAAAAAAAAATTGTTTTTTCTTATGAAATGATAGAGAATCTTTTCCCGGTGGTAATGACAACAAAAGTACGAAATTTGGTCGAAAACTCATGGAATTATGCTCCTGTGAAGTTAGCGGTCTTGGTGACATATATGCATCGGCGATTTCGCCAACTTTGAGCCCTGTTTTTGGCCAATTCCGTTGTTCCAGTTGACCAAACTCATAGCTATTTCTTTAGAACTCCATTTTTTCTATCAGGTGAGTACAAGAAACTACCCATTTACTGATTTGAACTACCCAATAAAGTGGTCAGAAGTTGGCAATTTGGCCAATTTCACGCAAATTAAAAAAGATGCCAATTTCAAAATAGGGTCCAGAATAAACAATGTAGACATTCTTGGCACTAAAATAGCATATCCTCTATTCATTAGTCACGTCTCTAAGCCCCTCTTATATTACTATTGCTTTCTATTTTTATTTTTTATTCATACAACAATACAAAATTTACTGTTATGCAGACTACTGCATTATTGTAAAAATGGTATAAATAATATCTGTGCATGGGGCAAGCCAAGACGTATCTTTGCCTGAACACGTGCTCTTTTGCGCATGTCATCCTACTCATGCAGCACATCTAGCTTCCCGTTCTTTATTTCTGACCAATCACAAGCCTTCCCTGAGTCACTTCAGCTAAGTGGTGATGGTGTTTCCCGGCTTCCCATTGGTCGAGAGAGTAAAATGTAAACACTTGTGGCTTGGCATCACCAAGAGTAACACTTTTTCATCTAGCGAGACTCAAATACCTTTGGATTTTATCCTCTACAATGTCGGTAAGTACTGATTGATATGTCTAGTGCATAAATGAATAGTTTCGGCATATTTTGATATACACCTACCATCCGACTTATGACCTGCTCGACTTACGACCACTCGACTTATGACCATGTTTTTTATGCCAAATTTCTGGAAATAAACAACTATTTGTGTTGTACACAGTGTTTATCCTAAACCTTACAGTATAAAATACAGTATACTAACAATATAAAAAGTAAAGTAAAACATGAAATACCAAAATAAAACAATAAAATAAAGTCATTACAAAAACGTTTTGTTGATATTCAGTAGTAAAGTTCGACTTACGACCATTTCGACTTACGACCGGTTTCTCGGAACTGAACTCGGTCGTAAGTCGGATGGTAGGTGTATATATAAAGTCCGTGTGAAGCATAAATGAGTGCACCATGCAAATGAAAAAAGTGCAACCAAAGAGGCCTCATTAAATCTGCATCTGCCCCTTCAGGGCCATTTTCCAATTTCAGTAAATAAATATTTATAAAAAATATTTCTATTGATTATATGAATTTTATAGTGGTCTGGATGTGTACAGAACGTTTTTATTGTCCTTCCAGATCAATGAGAAATTGTTTTATGACGAGCCCTCCAACACCAAGTCAAAATATGTCTGCATAAGAACAACACAAGAGCTTCACCAAGTACTTCCAATGGTGACAGTAATGCTTTGCCAACCTTGCAAATGTCATCTGCTATGCAGTACCAACACTGATGACAGTGTGAGGTTTGATAAAATGCTAGGTCACTGGCCAATGCTAGGCAAGCTACTTAGTTGCAAGTATTGCAGCAAAAAGTTATGTCACATCCTTATTTTACTTTTCCATATGCAAAGTAAACCTATGCATAAAGAAGGATAATAATTGCTTCATAGACTTTCATTCTAGCAATTAGTAATACAGAATGTTCTTTCTCAGGAAACTCAGGAATACGAGACTTGAAAGTTTTATCACTTTGCAATGTGGCCATGTTGCTATTTGGTTCATTTTTATATTTTTCTAATACTTACAAAATGTTTGGATACAAGTTCCATTTATGTTTTTGATACTGTATGTTTGTATAATAAATTAAAAAAATAGTTATTTGGTGTTTTATTATCAATTGCAACTTTGCAACATTCAAATTATACTCCCTTAATCGGGCAAGCCTTAGTACATTATGGCTTCGCAGACTAGCAATTGCTCGACAAATAACCATCATAATTCCATTTATATGGGCTCATTCACCTTACATTGAGATACTCTATCCAATCTAGGGAGTTCAGTTTGAAATATGTACTAATTTTCCTCTAATATGCCCCATGAAGGGCTTTAGACTCCTCAGTTGATGTGTATTGGACGTGTGGTGTGATTTGCTTACTCTTGAAAACTGGTAAAAATCGAACATTTCCGCTACTTTGAGCTCAGTTTCAATGTCGCTTTCATCGTGAAACTAATCAAAATCATCTCTATTTCTGTAATATGTTTTCCATTTTATCATGCGAGACCATGAAAACGAGAATACAACGATAAATACTATACGAAAATACAGTGGACCCTCGCATACCGTTGGCATCACATAACGTTAAATCCGCATACCGATACATTTTATCACTAAAATTTTGCCTCGCATACCGCTAAAAAACTCGCTCAACGCTATTTGTCCGAGACGCTTCTAATGTGCGGCCTGAGCCAGCTTCACATGTTCCGCCGGTGGCATTGTTTACAAGCCAGCCTCCTCGGTAACATCCAAGCATACAATCGGAACATTTCGTATTATTACAGCGTTTTTGGTGATTTCATCTGCAAAATAAGTGACCATGGGCCCCAAGAAAGCCTCTAGTGCTAACCCAGTGGTAAAAAGGGTGAGAAATACTATCATACCACAGTCAGCTGCTGCTGCACCACGGTCAGCTGTTGCTTGACCAGTCAGCTGTTGCTTGATCAGTCAGCTGTTGCTGGATCAGTCAGCTGCTGTTGCACCTCGATCAGCTGTTGCTGGACCAGTCAGCTGTTGCTGGACCAGTCAGCTGTTGCTGGATCAGTCAGCTGCTTCTGCACCACGATCAGCTGTTGTTGGACCAGTCAGCTGTTGCTGAATCAGTCAGCTGCTGCTGCACCACGATCAGCTGTTGCTGGACCAGTCAGCTGTTGCTGGATCAGTCAGCTGCTGCTGCACCACGATCAGCTGTTGCTGGATCAGTCAGCTATTGCTGGACCAGTCAGCTGTTGCTGGATCAGTCAGCTGTTGCTGGATCAGTCAGCTGTTGCTGGATCAGTCAGCTGTTGCTGGATCAGTCAGCTGTTGCTGGA